CCCCGAGCCCCTCTCTGTGCCCCTCCAGCAGGACGTGGGGTCCCCTCTCCCCCCACAATCCTGGGTGTCCCCAGTGAGGCCCCCCCGTGCCCCCCAGGCCGCCTGTCCCCCCAGGTCAGGGGTCCCCCCTTCTTTAGGGTCCCCTCCGTGTCCCCCCCAGTTTTGGTGTCCCCTCTCCCAGCTGAGCCCACTCCAACCATGGTGTCCCCCGAGGTGTCACTGTCCCCGGTGTCCCCAGTGTTACTCATGTCCCTGCCAGATGTCCCTGCTGTCCTTACTGTCCCCGCTGATGTCCCTGCTGTCCCTGATGATGTCCCCTTGCTGTCCTTGCTATGTCTCTGATGTCCCCATCACTGTCCCCGCAGGTGATCCGGCTCCAATCCCACTGTCCCCCCCAGATGTCCCTGTACCCCCAGGTGTCACTGTTCTCCTCCAGGTATCACTGTTCTCCTCCAGGTGCCACTGTCCCCCCACCATCCCCGCAGCTGATCTGGTTCCAGTTCCGCTGTCCCCCTGCAGGTGTCACTGTCCCTCTCCAGGTGTCACTGTCCCCCCCAGGTGTCACTGTCCCTCTCCAGGTGTCACTGTCCCCCCCAGGTGTCACTGTCCCCCTCCAGGTGTCACTGTCCCCCCCAGGTGTCACTGTCCCTCTCCAGGTGTCACTGTCCCCCCCAGGTGTCACTGTCCCTCTCCAGGTGTCACTGTCCCCCCCAGGTGTCACTGTCCCTCTCCAGGTGTCACTGTCCCCCCCAGGTGTCACTGTCCCTCTCCAGGTGTCACTGTCCCCCCCAGGTGTCACTGTCCCTCTCCAGGTGTCACTGTCCCCCCCAGGTGTCACTGTCCCTCTCCAGGTGTCACTGTCCCCCCCAGGTGTCACTGTCCCTCTCCAGGTGTCACTGTCCCCCCCAGGTGTCACTGTCCCTCTCCAGGTGTCACTGTCCCCCCCAGGTGTCACTGTCCCTCTCCAGGTGTCACTGTCCCCCCCAGGTGTCACTGTCCCTCTCCAGGTGTCACTGTCCCCCCCAGGTGTCACTGTCCCTCTCCAGGTGTCACTGTCCCCCCCAGGTGTCACTGTCCCTCTCCAGGTGTCACTGTCCCCCCCAGGTGTCACTGTCCCTCTCCAGGTGTCACTGTCCCCCCCAGGTGTCACTGTCCCTCTCCAGGTGTCACTGTCCCCCCCAGGTGTCACTGTCCCTCTCCAGGTGTCACTGTCCCCCCCAGGTGTCACTGTCCCTCTCCAGGTGTCACTGTCCCCCCCAGGTGTCACTGTCCCTCTCCAGGTGTCACTGTCCCCCCCAGGTGTCACTGTCCCTCTCCAGGTGTCACTGTCCCCCCCAGGTGTCACTGTCCCTCTCCAGGTGTCACTGTCCCCCCCAGGTGTCACTGTCCCTCTCCAGGTGTCACTGTCCCCCCCAGGTGTCACTGTCCCTCTCCAGGTGTCACTGTCCCCCCCAGGTGTCACTGTCCCTCTCCAGGTGTCACTGTCCCCCCCAGGTGTCACTGTCCCTCTCCAGGTGTCACTGTCCCCCCCAGGTGTCACTGTCCCTCTCCAGGTGTCACTGTCCCCCCCAGGTGTCACTGTCCCTCTCCAGGTGTCACTGTCCCCCCCAGGTGTCACTGTCGCCCCCAGGTGTCACTGTCCCCGCTGTCCCCGCAGGTGATCCGGCTGCGGGCCACCTTTGCCCAGGTGTCACTGTCCCCCCAGGTGTCATTGTCCCCCCAGGTGTCACTGTCCCCTGATGTCCCCGCTGTCCCCGCAGGTGATCCGGCTGCGCGCCGCCTTTGCCCAGGGCCCCGCGGTGGTTCTGGCCCTGGAGCTGCTGGTGGGGGACCTGGGGGGGCTCCTGCGCGCGGCCCCCGCCCCGCTGCCCCCGGCGCGCGTCAGGGCCCTGCTGGCCATGACCCTGCGGGGGCTGGGCCACGTGCACGGGCAGCACCTGCTGCACCGGGTGAGGCACCCCGAAACGGGACAGGGACCCCAAAAACGGGAATGGGAACCCCAAAAATGGGATAGGGGCTGGGCCACATGCATGGCCAGCACCTGCTGCACTGGGTGAGCCCCAAAATGGGGGGGACCCCAAAAACATGAGGAGACATCGGGAATGGGGAGACTCCAGCACGGCCTGGTGTGCTGGGTGAGGGACCCCGAAGTAAGGGGGGAGCCCTGAAACTGGAGGGGGACCCTGGGACTGGAGGGAGGCATCTCCCACCCCACATGAGCACCCCAAAACTGGGTGGGGGACCCCAAAATCGAGGCGGGGGGAGGTTCAGACAGCTGCAGGACACCCCAAAACCGGGGTGGGCACATGGAGGGACCCCAATATCTGTAGGGGGCCGCAGGTGTTGGGGCGCCCCAAAATCAAGAGGAGCACCCCAATGGCTGGGTGGGGACCCACAGTCTGGAGGTATTCCTGGTCTGGGGAGCACTGGGGGGGTTCCCCGAGTGTTGGGGACCCCTCCTGAGGCCATTTTTGGGGTGCAGGACCTCAAACCGGCCAATCTGCTGCTGGACAGCGCCGGCCGCCTCAAGCTGGCGGATTTCGGGCTGGCGCGGGTGCTGGGCCCCCCCTCGGGGCGCCCCTACAGCCACCAGGTGGCCACCAGGTACCAGATTTTGGGTTGTCCTCCCCACCCCGGGGTGCCAGGGTGTCCCCCCAAAAGCAGAGGCCCCCCCTGACCCCCCTGTTGCAGGTGGTACCGAGCCCCCGAGCTGCTCTACGGCGCCCGGCACTACGACGAGGGCGTGGATTTGTGGTGAGTGCCCGCTTTTGGGGGGCTCCCCCCGGGACTTTGGGGGTCACCTGGGATTTTTGGGGTCCTTACCAGGGTCTTAGGGTTCACTCTAACCCCTTGCCCAGCCCTGCGTGGTTTGGGGTCCCCACTTTGGGTTTTGTAGATCCCCCTCGTTCCCCCACCCTGTAATTCTGGGTCTGCCTTTGGTGCTTCGGTGTCCCCCTGGGATTTTGGGGGATCCCCCTCGGATTTTGGGGATCCCCTGGGATTTTGGGTGGATCTCCCTGGGACTTCGGGAATCCCCTGTGATTTTGGGGTGTCCTAGGATTTGGGGGTGGGTCCCCGTGGGTTTTGGGGTCCCTGCTGTTAGATGCCAGGTGTTCCCCATTTCTAGGTTCCTCCCTGGAATTTTTAGGGCCCTCCCCTGGATTTGGGGGGTCTCTCTGGGATTTCGGGGATCTCTCTGGGATTTTTGGGATGTTCCCCTTGGATTTCCGGGATTCCCTGGGATTGGAGGGATCCCTGTGGGATTTCGGGGGTCCCTGTGGGATTTTGGGGGTCCCCTGAGATCAGAGTGGTCCCTGTTGGGTTTTGGGGGTCCCTGTTGGATTTTGGGGTTCTCTGCGGGATTTTGGGGGTCCCTGTGGAATTTGGGGGTCCCCCTGAGCGCGGTCCCCCCAGGGCCGTGGGCTGCATTTTCGGGGAGCTGCTGACGCTGTCGCCGCTGTTCCCGGGGGAGAACGACATCGAGCAGCTGTGCTGCGTGCTCAGGGCGCTGGGCACGCCCAGCCCGCGCGACTGGCCGGTACTGGGGGCACTGGGAGAGGGACTGGGGGCACTGGGAGCCACTGGGAGGGACTGGGGGCACTGGGAGCCACTGGGAGAGGGA